CCAGGGTCCTGGGATTGAGCCCTGCATCAGGCTCCCTGCTCAGTCAGGGTTCTTCCTCTCCCTCACTTTCTGATCCTCCTCCCTCCTTGTGTTCTCTCTCACTCTCTCAAATAAATAAATGAATAAATTTTTTTAAAAAATTTAAGGCAGGTACATGGAAACATTTTAAATTTTGTTCATTACAAAAATACAAAAAATTCTAAGTTTAAATTCCTTTAATCTTATAGCATCCTAATATATTTACTTTTATTCATAATTATGACTTTGTTCCAAAAAATTTTTAAATATAGCTGTTGTGTATTATTTGAAAACTAGAAATATCCAAATAATTTGGAAACAATTTTCCATCATAACATTTCTTGATATCCATTCCCTCCGTTTTTCATTCTTGTGGCTTCCTTGAGATCTTTCTCAATATCTGTTTCACTGTTCTCTACTATGTTACTCTGTTTCAGTGTTTTTATTTAGCTGCTTCAGTGTTTTCTCTTGCCTTCTTTCTGTGTTTCTTACTTCTGATTACTCTGTGGATTCCATTGTTTACTTTGGCTCTATCCATTTTTATTGTTAGTATGTAACTGTATTTTGTAGCTGTAATATACTTCAGATCCTCCAAACCTTTGGATCTTTCACTTGCCTGGTAAAATGGCTTAAACCTCAACTCCAGTCAATGTAGAAAGCTCACAGAGTAGGCTTCTTTATTCTCCACTTGACCCGGCTGTGCTTTATATTATTCTCCAAATGCAATTTTCCAAGGCTCTTGTGAACATTTACTGAACAGACTTAGGATAACAGAGATATATCTTATGGGAATGACAGTCTAAAATTTAAAATTGAATGCTTTATATCAGCACTTGTAGAAGCTACTTGGCCATTCCTACCACCAAAAATGTTGCCTTTTTGCTTTAGACCTGGGTTTATAAAAAGCAATGATCAGTGATTTAAGTTAATGTCTTTGAACATAAAATGATGCTGTATTGTACATCATAAAAAGATTAGATCCTAAAGAGGAAATTAGAAAATAAACTGGGTCTGGTGAAGAAAACTTTAGTTATTTTTTTAAGAATGTTTTTCCACTAGCAAAAATTTGGAAAGAGATGTTTAATTTTCATAATACTTATATTTAGATAATGAAGGCAATTTTTCTTATTAAGGTAATTCTCTGATAAAATTACATTAAAAAGAAGGTATTTTACTCATTATATTTTTTCTTTTATAACTAAGTTGATATAATGAATTTTGTTAGATGTGTAGGTTGGCTAATATGCCTTACACATTCAGTATTTAATACGACATTCTTTGACTTTTAGATCTATATTAATTGAAATTTTTAACCTTTAAGTAACTTTGCATGATTCCATAAATATTTGTATGTTTCATGTTATCGGTGTTTGAATTTTTAGATTTTATTTTTCTTTTTAAATTAAATACATTATAAATAAGTAATTTGCATTTAAAGAAAACAAAAGCCTGAACATGGTATATATTAATTACATAGTGAAGTGTGGTATTTCTGGAGTAAGTAATTTTAGAGTAGTAAACATAAGCATATATAGCAGTGAAATATTTCTCATTCATTCATCTATTTTTCAGTAAAATTTATTTTTGAAATCTTTTACTTATTTTCCATGACAATGTGTTAATATTTTAAGTTATATGGAAGGGATTATGTATTAAATTTTAAATTGTGTTGGAAGACTGGAACCCAAGCCACAGTTCTGCTTTTGACTAGATAAATGACCTTGAATTAAGTTATCTCTAAAGTAATTTTCTCATTTGTGAAATAAAGGCATCAATCTCATTTTTTCTCAAATTTTGTAACTTTTGTAAGTTGAAGAAGCTCCAGAATAAACACTGTACAGTCCTGAAAAGAATCTCAAAGCATGTAATCCCACCATCCATCTGATACTTGAATCATCTGCTCAGTATCACTACTAAGAGACAGTGAATGAGTTGCTGTGGGGGATAGAAGTGTATAAGGAAAACATTTCCTCTTAAGGCAGGTCTGATGGTTGGCAGTTTCTCTTAGTGATTGACATGTCTCTCCTTAATAATTTCAGTCCTTGGAGTCATACAAAATAAGCATAATCCAATTCCTAGTATTAGAAACCAACTATCTTTTCTGGTTTTTCTTTCTTTTTTTAATCAAACATCCTGTTTCATCTGTTCCTTGTATAACAAGGTTTTGATTTGTATTGGTTTTGCATAGTTTTATGAAATAAACAATATTAATGAAATTAGAGGTGAAATAAACTTGAAAATAACATTAGATATGAATTTTGTAGTTGATATTTATATCTAGGTAATAATGTATAAGAATCTTATATTTTTAACATTTGTAATTGAACCCTAAAAATGTTATTTTAAAGTCTTTATGGGCTGGGAATTTAAATAATCCTAATGTTAGATATTTCCTATGTCCCAGACTCTCTTCTTTGCTCTCTAAATGTATGCTCTCATTCAGTACTTACAACAGTCCTATAAGGTAGGCACATCTCCATTTTGGAAGTTAGGTAATTGAGGTACAGAGATACTAAGCATCATGAAAATAGAAATTATTCCAATTCTGTATTGAAACTATATAAATTATGTATTTAAACATAAATTTTCCCCTTCCAATAAATACTTATACTATTTGATAAATCTGCTCTTCTTTTAGTTCCTGAGATTTACTGAGTCCTTTTTTTTTTTTTAAGATTTTATTTATTTATTTGACAGAGAGAAATCAGGCAGAGAGAGAGAAGCAGGCTCCCCACTGAAGAGAGAGCCCGATGTGAGGCTCGATTCTAGGACCCCGAGATCATGACCTGAGCTGAAGGCAGAGGCTTAACCCACCGAGCCACCCAGGCGCCCTACTGAGTGCTTTTTATGGGGCAATTTGTGTGCTAGTGTTTTCCATATTTTATCTCATGTAATCCCAGGAAAGAGATACAGATTTTATCCTTATTTTATGGGAGAGGGAACTGAGAAGAATTACTTGTCCAAGATCACACAGCTAGAAAGTGGTAGAATTAGGGTTTGAGTCTAAATAGTCTTGACTATGTAGTTTATGTTCTACATAATCATTAGGTATACTGCCTCTCTAGACTACACTGTGTCAGCATATTTGACTTTATTGGGCCAAAAGAAGTAAATGCTTCTTGGCAGGCAGTTCCAACTATACAAAATACACACTACTGGTACATGCATCAGGGAAGCCCTTTGAAAATAATTACTTTTTTCTACAGTAATTTGTAAGTAAGCTTACTAGATACATATGGAACAAATACAAAGCCACAACTTGATCTCTGATGTAAAAGACCACAGTCTTTTGTCTTAGGAAGATAGTAGCCCAGACAAGTCACACTGCTTATTCTGGCTTCAAGGGAAATTTAGAATATTAAGTGAAATTGTAGGATAGAATATTAGCAATAGCTTTTTAGTGTTTTTCAAAGTTAAAATTCAACTTAGATTTCACTGAGGTTTAAAGCAGATTTCCATGATATCTAATGTTTTTATGTTCAAATTCCTTTCAAAGTTAAATACAGATACATCTTTTGGATTATCTGCTAGTCTCCATCATTTGTGCATGTAATTAAGATTTAATTATACTTCTTTGGTAAATGGTGTGGTTGCTTCCTCTTACATTATGTTTATGTAGTAGTTCTTAAGTTGCAGACACAGCACTTCTCAGAATATCACATTCAGAATATGCTTAAAGCTCTGAGAGACTGAAGCACTGAGAAAAGTTAGCGCTATGACTATTCAACAAGGGAATTCAGCTCTTCCTATGTCCTTGTTATTTGACAAAGGACTTTAGCTCTTTCTGTTTATTTCTCATATGGTGATAAGTACATTTCTCTGAAAACTATGTTTCACATTATATTCTTTTTTTTTCTTGTACAGTTTTGTTTTTGCTTTCTTTGGAAATTACTCAGCTTGGTGTGGTAGCTCTTCTCAGTAGTGCTATATTTGTCTGTGATGTGCCACTTTTCACTTTCTTTTTCTCAATGGAACTTAGAAGCATTAAACACATCTTTCTAGTAGTTAAAATGAAGTTTCTCTATGATGTGTGACTACTTTGACAGTTTCACCTCATCTACATAGGTACAGATAGATATCTGAATGAAATAAATTTCTGTGTTTACCACAGTAAAAAAAAAAAAAAATGCTCTTCTAATCACTAAGCACCTAACATTTCTCCTATGAAAATAAAGGCACGAAGGTAGCAAATGAATACGTGTTGCTAGTGAAATAAATACAAGAAACGATAGAAAAAGTTTTGAGAAATAAATGCAGGTGAATGAGTGTTGAAAATCTGGCTAAAATTAGTACATTCATAATCTTCCTGGTCTTCACTGTGAGGTATTTTCTCTGCCATTTTTGTTGCACAGTCCACTAAAATAGCTAGTTCAGGATATACTTTTCATACTTGTAACCAAGCATTTCTATTATATTCCTTAACAAAGGAAGGCAGTGTAGGCCCAGGGGACAGACATCATTTGAAAATGTCCTCCCTGAGACTATAGTCAGCAGAACCAGCCCTACTGTAACATGGCAATTAGGTGTGATTGTTTTCAGCACAGTTACATTCAATATGCCTTCCGCAGTTTCACAAGCATTTGTTAAATTGCCATAGTTGAAGAAAAAGAGCAAACTGCTATTTTTTGAAACATTTATTGATCAAATACGTATTTGCTTGTGTAAATATAAACTCTCCAACATTTTTATGTTTTCTTTTTTGTTTTAGTAAGATAGATTTAATTTGTAACTTAAGCTAATAATAACAATACTAATAATACAAGAGGAGGCAACTCAGTGTTTCAAAGGATAATATGATTCCATTTTAAACAGTAAGAACCTATACAAGATCATGGCATTTAGGTTTAGGGTATCTATCTCTTTGGACCAAATCATGTTATTTGAATCTACTGTGGTATTGTTAGTATGTTTCATAAGACATAGTACAGAGCTGCTATGATCTTTAAATGTTAATGTTCTTTTCTTATCACTTTACTGTGTAGATACCCTTCATGAGACCCAACTCTGCCACAGCTCATCCTCGGAGGCAATCCTGGAAACCTCTTTTATAAGTGTGATTTTAAAAATGTGGATAACACTCTCAATAGAGTACATAAAGTAAAGGAGAACAGCTATCTTGTCCTTCCCATAAGCTTATCACTGCAAAAAGTTGCCTTTGCTTGTCAGGTTTGGATAGAATGTAATTGATTGGTTTGTTGCTTGGACTGACAAGGCAGTTAATTTGCCTGTGTGGATTTTTTTCTATATTTTTCTTCTTCTTTTTTTTTTTTCCTTGCACTAATCAGAAACATTTGATATGTGCATTGTTGAATAATAGTAGATAATGTCTTGTCAGAATTGTCCTATTAAGTAATGTCTTTCCCTCTTGCTTCTCTGGCAAATGATGATATGCAGTGTTTGGACTTACTGAAGAGTTTTGGAAGCCTGTGGGACTTAAATGCAATGTGCTACTCATTGTTGTTGAACAACACCAGTAACAAACAAGAAAGACAATGCATTCCACTAGTCTGCTATTCTATTTCATCCAATTTAAAACATATATTCATATGTGAAATATTACATTGGGAAACAACTATAGACTCTTATTTAATGGTTATTCCTATTTATAATATTCAGCAAAAGTGAAAAACTTGTGAAGCATATGCCATTCTAGTTTTGGCTCATTAGTCCTAGTGTGAAAGCACTAATATTATTAGCATGAAACTTTTACAACTTCAATTTTAAGCTCATTAGTAAAATATATCTGTGTTGATCTCTAGATATTTTTTAGTAATACCCAATTTTATTCAGTCTTCATTGATTTAATACGAACTTTCTGTGTTCAATATAATTTTTTTTTTGTGACCTTAAATTTGAGGTTATGAAATAAGGAGGGAGATTCAAAGCTTAATGACTATACAACCTGCCAACTGAAAGATCTTCATCAACATCTATATTTTTCCAGAGGTTTACAGAATTAAAATTTGATCTTCAAGTTTTAATGATCCAGTTTTAAATCAACGACAGAAATATGTTGAATATTCCATCACTCCATCTTGAACTGATTTAGAAGAGACTCTTGGCTGAAATTGAAATGTACATATACATGTAATTGTTAACTTGTTTCTTGGAATTTCCTGATTTATAAATGTGGTTTGGACATCTTTTCAGGTATAGTGGCAATTGAAAATAGTTTAAACTTTAGGAATAGAATAGGCGATGTTTAGATAAGCAAAAGCAAGTGTAAGTATGAAATTGCTGTATGCTAGTAATCTATAGTTACAGTAAGGAACCTTATTATTGGATAAGATGTTTAATAAAAGTAATATGTATATACAATATGTATAAACTGAGATTATTAACTTATCAAAAGATCTTTTAACATTGGAGGAAAATTATTAATAGCCTGTAGCAAAACCAGTAGGCAATTTTTTTTTTCTGGAATAAGGACTCATTATCTCTACGTAAGCTGAAGAGAAAGTTGATAATTATTACTATTGCTTAATTGTAATAGATAATAAGTAAAATGACAGATTGCCATTTCCTTAAAAGAATATGCTAATGTTCCTCACCCTCCTTTGATATATGGTAAGAAATTACTAGTGGGTCATTTTATTTTAGATTTTTTGAGAAACCATTAAGCCTTGTGGTTTTGGTGTCACTATTCAAAATCCTTTCCACCGGGTTTTAATTAGAATACTACATTATCATCATTCTCTATCTTAAAATCTTCAGTGGTAGATATGCTATTCCATATTTGTTGCTAACCCTAAAATCTTTGTCGCACATCACAAATACAAATCTCATAATTCATAAGATCATTGGTACTGCAAACATGTAAGAGAACTTTTAAAGGGAGTAGAATTAAACATTTTCTCCTCATAATCTCCTGAGTGCTCTCATATTTCCACAGTATATAATTAACTCTTTTCCATGATTGGTCCAATTCCTATTCAAAGGAGATATTAATGAGCCCTTAAAAAAATAGGAGCAAAATGATACATATTTCACAGATGTGTGAAATCGGTAGGTTAGGTAAATGATGGCTATTTCTCACAAAGTAGAGAGAGGAAAAATACACTAATTCTATCAGGAAGGAAATTAAATGATTCAGAAGTACAAGAAGAATGACAGAGTAGTATATAGTGGTGATTCTCAGACTTTACAGTGCATCAGAGTCACAGGAAGTATTTGTTAAAACACAGATTGCTGTCCGTTCCATCTTCTTATTATCCTCTTCCCTGCCTTACTCCTCCTGTCTCCCTCCAGTTTCTGATTCAGTAGGTCTGGGATGAGACTTGAAAATTTGCATTTTTAACAAGTTCCTGAGTGATACTGATGGCCAGGGACCACCACTTTGAGAACCATTTGTATATAATAGTTTTTAAAAGAATCATTGTGTTGTGGTTACATTGATTGAAGATGGCATTAATGTCTTTAAAAGAGCCCTTAAGTTTTCCAAAAATATTTGTTTCTAGATAAGTTTATAGGAGTTGTATCTATAACATACACTGTCTTTCTTTTTACAAATTCATTTAAGCAATTTTTTTTTTACTTTTTAAGTTTTTAATTTTAATTATTATGGGGACAGCACTATTTTATGTAACTAATTTATGAAATTAGTCAAAGAACATAGCCTTTGTACATAATTCACTACTTCGTTTATTAAAAAAAATGTTGGAAATTAGGGTTATGTTTGAATATGCAGGGGTTAGCCTTAACCTTTATCCATCTTTAGTTAAGAAAGGATATTTATGTATCACTTACATACCATCATTATTCATGTATTGCTTGATGTTTATCTGATTTTACACTGATGACATTAAAAATAGATTACTGACCAATAAATAATAATCATTTATTATCATTATCCTATTTCCTTGTTTATACATCCTATCACTTAATGAGACCACTCTTTTTTAAACAGTATTCCTTATTTTACAAAACTTACCACTCTTTTACTTGATTCACAATATGGAAATATTTTATGAGTATTTCAGCAAAATCTATTCAAGGAGTTTGTAGAAGGACTTTCTACAGCAGAGTGGAATGTAATGTTTAAAATTTTTTTTTTTTATCTTCTGAAACTATTTTTGACAATTGAAACTTGTTTGAGAGACTCAGCTTTAGGGTTGCATGTATATGAAGATAGATTTTTTTCCTACCTATCTGAGTCAGCACTTTGTAAAATTACATACTATTAAGGATTGTGATTAAAAGTATTTCTGAGATGGACATGGTTTGCAAATACTTTCTCTGTAAGAACATAGTCCTCTTTCTCCCAGTGCTCACTCTTAAGACTTTCTGCAGGCCTGCTGATAAGATTCACTGCTGTTCAGGTACATAAGATAAAATGAAATTGGATGTTCTTGCTGGGTTTTGTAAATAAAATGAGATTGACCCCCAGCTATCATCTCATTTATCTGATTTACATTGTAAAATCAGGATCTACACTATTGATTAGAGCATAATTAGTTAATTATGAGCAGGGAAATACAAAGTTATGTGGGGCTTGAGCACAGCAGGTTGTACTGCTGAAAAATTTCCAAGGGCATGAGCAGATGGAGATCAGTTTATTAAAAAACAAAGCAGACGTGTTTCAGGTATGGAAATGTCTCATCATTCTCTCATGCTGTGAGGTGGTACTTGACCTTAATTATGTATTTTTATATGAATTCTTTTTGTTTCATGTTTTATTTTTTTGTTTCCCTTTGGATCTTGTAACCTGGCTGTTACAGATGTAGCTAACTGAATTGATGTTATTATTTAAGTTATCATTAAATATGAATTTGGATTTCAGTAATTATCCAGATACTTTTTTCAGTTAATATACTTTCATGGGTAAAGACTATTTTTGTCTTTCTTACCACTCATTCATTCATTATTGCCTGTGATAAAAATAGAGGTCTATAGTGGCACTAATGAAAAATGTTGAAGATCTCCACATTAGTCTTATATTTGTGAGATATGATCTAAAGTACATTTTCTAATTATTTCATTTAGAAAATGGTTGTATAGATGGTTTGCACTAAAATTCTAAAATACAAGGAGTAAAATGTCTTTACTGATATGAAATGTTATTATGATTGGTAGAATACAAAATTTTGTTTAAGCTTGTATTATTTTAAAAGTTATTTAACGCATGGGCCACAATCCAGCATTTTCTCCATCCGTTAATATGAGTAATTAAAATAATTGGTTACTATTCAATGAAAGAATCTATCACTACCATTAATATGTGTGAGTGTTTTAAGCTGCTAGTGAATTTTATTTAAGTAATGTTAATATTAATTCTTTTGATCTTTCTTATATAGAAGTTTTACACAGAGATCATGAAAAAGTAAGGAAACCCAACCCATCAGTTCTCTCAATATTTAGTCTGTTTCCTTTTGAGTGAAGAGATATAATAGTATATATTTTCAATCAGTATTTTACCATATATAGACATGGACCTAAATAAAATGTTCCTTGACATAAAAAATAGTTGTGATTATGAATCAACTTGATCACAAAAAAATGTACATCCCTTTTCAAGTCCCATGTATGGATTTTTCTTCTTCTGAAATTTAGCTTATTAGTTGGCTATAAGTTACATACATAGGAGGTGCACTTAATTGTTTCAGTTAGTTTAAAAATAGTTATTTAGTGTATTCTAATGAAATTATCAATTGGAAATTAAGAGGGTTAAAGAAATCCTTTGGAATATTGGTTTTTAGCCTTTTTCTTGGTACAGGCAGAAATAAATCAGTTGTTTCTTTTTACTTGTATTCATGTCCTCAGTAATCAGGTAAACCAAGGACTGCTTGTTGTATGGATCTTAGACATGAACATAAGTCATTTTCTTCCTCTTCTCTGTCTAGGTTGCTAGACTTAACCATATGCTAAGTAAGTATTTTAAATACATATAGAATTGTGTTTATATCTGCTTTATTATTTACATTGTATCCTTTATGAATCTGATACCTAGGAAGTAATATTTAGTAATAATCTAATTTAAAAATCAGGTTTCCTTTCATCTTAATAAGTGGGATTCATTTTATCTTATTAAAACTGTAATTTTTGAATGCTCTATGGTGTTAATGTGTACAATATTTATTAGGTGTTTAAAGGATACTTCTTTAAGCATCCAATTTGTATTTTATTTAAAAAATCCATAGTATTTCTTTATAGGTTAACTTAAAATTCTCTTTTAAATATTTTAAGATACTGCCTTTCTACTTAGTATATGTGCTATTGGTATTATAATCTGTTTTTTTTTTTTTACATAGACATTTGTGTTCTTTAATAAAGTATATTGTGTTATATCATTTGTGGGTCAATGACTGCTCTTGGAAAAGATTTTAAAACATTGTATTCACTATTTTTGATTAATTAGATATATATATTATGTGCTGTAGTTATGTGTTTCCAGGTATATGTGAGAAATAGTAGAGACCATAAATAATAATTTGATCAATAACTACTTCAACTTTGTTTCACCTTTTAGGTAGCAGAATGATTGCAGACCCTTATGAGTTTCTGCTTTTCAATTTTTAAAAAAGATCTAAATTTGTAACATGGCCAGAATTTATTGGCCGACAGAAGTTGCTTAAGTTTTCAAAGTGGAGTGTGTGTGAATGAAATAAGTAATCCAGTATTTTTACCATCTATATTGTTCCTCGGTTTCTTAAGTTCTTAATGGTATCTCTTTCATTTGTCTATGATGTATTAATTCTTACAAATTCTGTTGGAGTTTACTTTGTATCATTGAGGATATTTTTGTTACCAGCACGTAAAGCT